CACTCTATCTATACCTCTGATCATTTTGTACACCTCTATCAAGTCACCTCTCATCCTTCGTCGTTCTAAAGAGAAAAGCCCTAGCTCTCTCAACCTTTCCTCGTAAGACCTTCCCTCCATTCCAGGCAACATCCTGGTAAATCTCCTCTGCACCTTTTCCAACGCTTCCACATCTTTCCTGTAATGAGGCGACCAGAACTGGACACAATACTCCAGATGTGGCTGAACCAGGCTTTTGTATAGAGATAGTAGGAACTGCAGATGCTGGAGAATCTGAGATAACAAGGTGTAGAGCTGGATGAACACAGCAGGCCAAGCAGCATCAGAGGAGCAGGAAAGCTGACGTTTTGGGCCTAGACCCTTCTTCAGAAAAATCTCAGGCTTTTGTATAGCTGGAGCATAACTTCACGGCTCTTGAACTCAATCCCTCTATTAATGAAAGCTAACACACCATACACCTTCTTAACAACTCTATCCACCTGGGTGGCAGCTTTCAGGGAACTGTGAACATGAACCCCAAGATCCCTCTGCTCCTCCACACTGCCAAGAATCTTTCCGTTAACCCTGTATTCTGCTTTCAAATTTGTCCTTCCAAAATGAATCGCCTCACACTTTTCAGGGTTAAACTCCATCTGCCACTTCTCAGTCCAGCTCTGCATCCTATCAATGTCCCTTTGTAACCTAGAACAGCCCTCCGCACTATCCACAACTCGACCCACCTTAATATCGTCCACAAACTTACTAATCCATCCTTCCACTCCTTCATCCAAATCATTTACAAAAATCACAAATCACAATTTCTCCCCCAGCGCTCCACCCTGCTCCACCATTGCATAAATGCTGCCCCCTGCACACTTCAGGTCAGCTCTGAGTCATCTAGACTCGAGGCGTTAGCTTGCTCTCTCTCCAAGGATGCTGCCTGACCCGCTGTGATCTCCACCAGCATTTTTCGTTTTCACTATCCAAAGTTCTACCATTAATTATATAAAGTCCTGTCCTTGTTTGTTTTACCAAAATGCAATTATCCAAGTCAAACTCCATCAGCCCATTGACCCAATCAATCAAGATTTCTTTGTAATCTTAGGTAACCTTCTTCACTGTCCACTGTACCACCAATTTCGTTCCATTTGCAAACTTACTAAGCGTGCCTTCTATGTCTTCATCTAAGTAATTTGTATAAATGACAAAAGTGGACCCAGTACCGAACCCTGTGGAACATTGCTGGTTACAGGGCTCCAGTCTGAAAACAGCCTTCCACCACAACCCTCTGTCTCCTGCTGTAAAGCCAGTTTTGTAAAGGGACGTCTGATAGGTAGGAGGCTTTAAAAAGTGTGATAACTCGATTTCAGAGTCATTATGTTCCTGTTAGAGGAAAAGGTACGGCTGGTAGGATTAGGGAACAATGGATGAATGAAGATATTGAGATTTTAGTCAAGGATTGAAGAGAGTCGTACATTAGATATAGACAGTGGGTTCAACTGAATCTGTTGAAGAGTATAAAAAGTGCAAGGGCATTCTTAAGAGGGAGAACAGGAAGGCAAAGAGAGGATATGAGGGTCTTGGATAAGGTTAAGGATAATCCAAAGAGATTCTATAAGTACATTCAGAGCAAGAGGGTAATGAGAGAGAGAGAGAGAGTAGGGCCCCTTAAAGATCAAAGAGGTTGTCTTTGTGTTGACCCTGAGGAGATGGGAGAGAGATTAATTGAATATTTTGCAACAGTTTTGACAGTGGAGAAAGAAATGGAGGCTAGAGATCTCAAGGAAATAAATATTGTTTTTTGAAAACAGTTCACATTAACAGAAGGGTAAGTGCTGGGGGCCTTAGGAAACGTAAAAGTGGATAAATCTCCAGGAACTGATCCGGTGTATCCCAGGACATTGTGGGAACTGGGGTAGGAAATTGTATAAATATCTGTATCACCTATAACCAGGGGTGAAGTACTGGAGGATGGCTAATGTTGTGCCTTTGTTTAAGAAAGGCTGTGAGGAGAAGCCTGGGAACTGTAGACCTGTGAGTTTGACATCGGTGGTGGGTGAGTTGGAGGGGATTCTGAAAGACAGGATTTAAATGCGTTTGGAGAGGTAGGGAATGATCAGGGATAGTCAGTGCGGTTTTGTGTGAGGGGTAAATCATGTCTCACAAAGTTGATTGAGTTTTTTGAGGAAGTGACCAAGAAGATTGATGAGGGCAGAGCGACAAACGTTGTTTATTTGACTTTAGTAAAGCCGTTGACAAGGTTCCACACGGTAGACTAATTAGTAAAGTTAGACCACATGGGATTCAGGGTGCACTGGCCAATTGGATACAAAATTGGTTTAATGGCAGGAGAGAGAGGGGGTTTGTGGTGGAGGGTTGTTTTTCAGACTGGATCTGTGACCATCAGTGTTCCACAGGGATCAGTGCTGGGTCCATTTTTGTTTGTCATTTATATAAATGATTTGGACGAGCGTACAGGAGGCATGGTTAGTAAGTTTGTGGATGACTGTTTGCGGTGGTATAGTGGGCAGTGAAGAAGGTTATCGAAGATTGCAGAGAGATCTCAATCAATTGGGTCAATGGGCAGCAGAGTGGCAGAGGGAGATCAATTTGGATTAATGCGAGGTATAGCATCTTGGTAAAACAAACAAGGGCAGCACTTATATATTAAAAATAGGGTCTTAGGTAGTGCTGTAGAATAGAGAAACCAGGGGTGTTCAAGTATGTAATTCTTTGAAAGCTGCGTCACAGGTAGACAGGGGGGTTAAGAATGTGTTTAGCACGCTTGTCATGTTGAGATTGTGCAGGACGTTGGTGAGGGCTCTTCTCGAATTGTGTGTCCAGTTCAGCTTGCCTTGCTAAAGGAAGGATACTAAGAAGCTGGAGAGTGTTCCGAAACGGTCTCTTGTCTGTGGCCCCTCCCCCCCACGCCCCGCACCCCCCATTCTCTGTCTCCCTGGTGTCCTTGCTCATGTGCCCTGTGGGGTTTGAGAGACAGAGGGGGGATATCAGCCAGGGTTCCTGCTCCCGATTGCTGTTCAGTGATCCCTGGGTTACAGAGAATTGGTGGGGGTTGGGGGGGGTGGGTGATGTGGAATCAGATGAGGTTATAGAACCATGGAGTCAAACAGCATGGAAACAGACCCTTTGGCCCAACTCATTGATGCTGACCAGATTTCCTAACTTACTGTAGTCCCATTTGCCAGCATTTGGCCCATATCCCTTTAAACCTTTCCTATTCATAGGCCCATCCAAATGCCTTTTAAATGTTGTAATTGTACCAGCCTCCACCACTTCCTCTGGCAGCTCATTCCACACACGCACCACCTGCTGTATGAAAAAGTTGCCCCTTAGGTCCATGTTAAATCCTTCCTCTCTCACCTTAAACCTATGCCCCTCCAGTATTGGACTCCCCTGGAAAAGAGAACCAGGTACTAGACCCATTCTGTCAGCTAGGTTTATGGATGTGAAATGAAGGAAGAGTGAGGTTCTCCACAGTTGAATAGCAGTGATTGTGGACTGAGGGGGAAGTTATTGTCAGGAGCAGTGTTAAGGATCAGCTGGAGGGCTCGCAGTGAGGCTGAGGGAATGGGCCGGGTTCAGATTGATGGCAATTGGCATGTCTGGGTTTGGGTTTCCGGAGAATTGGAGCTGAATCAGCACTGAATCTTTGGAATGTATCATGTCAGAACCTGTGTGGAGAGGCAGGGAGGGAATGAACACGCACAGGCCAATCTGGTAGAGCAAGTCATTGTGGCGTGATCTGTGCTTCACAGAGTGACAGACTGGCCGACCCCCCGACAGTGCGGCCCTGTCACTGTGTGACTGGC